ATTCAGTGTTAATAAAGGCATGATTGATTGACAAGCATGTAATGCATAGATGCGAATCTGTTTAGCAGAGACTAAGTCTGTAACTGCTGAGAGAAAAGATGAATGCCACCGTCAGTGTTATCACCGGTGGTTGAAATTTTTTCATGTTGAACATGTTGAGGTGTTTTCATTACGACATCTGGGTTCACACAGCGGATAACGACTCTTGGCACTGACGCATAAGATTCAAACACTAGATTCGAATCCAAAATAGGCCAAGAATATTTTATCCCGTTGTAATTACTTAGAGCAAGGCATTGTTTGACTTTGCTGACCATCTAGCAATGCAGACCATTATGCACAGCTTCATCATTCCACATTAGAAGCGATTTACAAATGAACAGTTAATGCTGTGAAGGCTGAAGGACAAATTCGGAATATTTTGATATCAGCAGCGGCATCAGACAGGAAGATGTACTCTCTCCTCTACTCTTTAAGGTAGTGATATATCACATTCTGCAAAATAGCACTGAACAACAACACCAACAACTGAGACGATCTTATGCTGGAACAGATGATGAGATCAACGTTTCTAGAAAAATTTATTACGCACTGGACAATGCTGAAGCTGTTGTCATAACTGACGACTATGACGAATGCTGTCGATTGCTAACTAGGAAGGTGTGCACAATTGTAACGAAAGGAGGACTCTAGCTGAACCATAATAAAAAAGGTGATGAGGAATCCAGACTCGAAGGCTTGCTACAGAAGCAGCGCCAGTGAAATAACCCAGTAGTTTAAATACCTCATCACTGACATCTCCAACAACGGCAATCAAGACTTTAAGAGGGGGATGACGCTGGCTTATTGTGCTTTCAAAAGGAAAGATGGAACTGCGGAAGGTTGGACTGGAAAAGCAATAACAGTCTTGACAAGGTCTATCTTTCCCACGCTATTGTTAGACATTGTCTCGGAGTGGAAAGTGCAACAATGCTTACCGAAACAAATATCATAAATTAATATACAGCACTCATTACTTGTTTATCAGGTTGATTTCTTAGACAGCAGCGGCGAATTATTTTTTTTTGAAATATTTTTAGAAAATATTTTTTGAGGTGGCTTAAAAGACTCCGTGATTAAATTTATCGTAAATTCTAACCAAAATTAAATGAAACTTAACTTATATATTACTAAATCTAAAATATTTATTTTTTTCGAATATTGAAGCGAACAGCAGAAGGAACTGAAATATGGTATTTGTGGTTAAAATACCT